GGCCTCTAGGACTGCCCTTTGACCTTGTGGTAAGCCTTAAGGGGCTTTAGGGCCAGCTTGTGAATGACAGGGTCCAAAAGGGGTCATGAGGGGACTCTGACGCAAGCTGCGGGGAGTCTCAAGTTATTGAAGTCAAATAAACTAAATTGTATTGTTCTTTGAAACATGTCAGTTTCTGTTTGACATGTTAATTCACGTTTCTTCTTTTCATGCGCTGCAGGCTCCCTGATATCATCTCAGCATCTTTAGACCTCAACCAGGTGGCCTCTGGCCAGTTGCATGTAAGTCTTTGAAAGACTTTAATATTATTATCATAATTACTTGCTGTATTTTGTATTTTTAGACTACCGTGAAAGCTGTGTATTTAGTCACTGTTGATTTTTTAATTGTTAGATTTTGTCAAGGAAATAAAAGATATTGAAGGTAAATTTTTAAAATGACCATTCTCATGTTTTGCCTGGTCATGGTCTCTCTCCCTTTCTGTATTGGTCAATTAGACAAAACACAATGTTTTCTTGGTGAATTCTTGGTCTGTTCATCTCACACGCACATGCAGACACACACATCTAACTAATCACTTTTGAAGCTCCTTATTAGTCGTACTTACAGTCTAAGGATCAAGTATAATCCCTGGCTTCTTTACTATAAGAACAAACGGCTGCCTACAGACTGCGATATAGGGAGGAGTTTTCAGTCTAGCTTTAAGGAGAGTATGTGATGATTGAGCTGCTTTGTGTTGTGAGTACAAATTAATCTTTACAGGGAATTATGTGATTAGCTCAAAATCCCAATCCTTTAATATAAAAACAACATTCCATTTCAGATTAGAACACTTATGGCAAAGTCAACAGCGATGTTTACCAATAGTCAATGCAAATATTTGACTGAGTGATTAACTGACGTTTTTCATTTTTCAATATCTGTCACTGTATTTTACTGTTACTTTAATGTAGTTATCATAGATCATTTAAGTGGAAAACCCCTTACTCTACTACACAGCCCCTTTCAATCATATCATTTGATATGTTATGTGATATGATGATGAAAAACTACTGGTAAAATCCCCGCTTTACTTTGATCTGATCCAAGTAAATTAGTCATTTTGCATAAAGTTCCAAAAAAGTATTCAAAAATATTGTCAAATGCCCTTTTTCATTTATTTATCTTGCAAAATATCTTTATTCTTTTTTATTTATTTGTAAAAGGACAGCACATATCAATGAACATTTAAAAGCTGTTATTTATCACTCAAGTAACTACAGAATAGCTTTGTGTAAAAAAAATAAATAAATAAAATATGATGAGACTTTCTGAACCAATTGTGACTTAAATGATGTATGTCCAAAAAGGATATCAGCAGTACCGATATTTGGAAGCCGATATTTGATGTAGCCATTTTTTTTTTTTTATCATTATCCGATTGGTGCAGAGGTGAACCAGCATGTGGTTTGACTCAAGAAAGAGGAAAGAAACATGAGCAGAAACAGCTGTGTTTTTTTAAAAGAATACAGCTACACCTTGATGTTACTGACTGACATCATTCTATTACCTCAAATTCTCCCAACAATTTGTTAACTTCCGTAAGTCATGTGTAAATTACAATTCTAGGCTACAGTACGTAATGTTTGCCTCTTTTATTATTGTGCTCCTGCAAAGTGTGACTGCATAACCTTTAGGAATGAATCACCTGACTCCTATGAAGTAACTGTCTCACTTTGGCTCCCACAGAACGACGTACAGCTCTGGTTTTGCCTTAGGCCTAACCTTTACTGTCAGGTCATAATAATGTGCATTGGTTAAACTAGAAAGAACTGAGCACTGTGCTCTAAGAGAATCAGGTACTGAGTGAGTGTTTTTTCTGGTGGCAAAGTAAGGACAACATTTAGTGATGTTTAAAGGTGATAATTATTCTTACTTTAAAATGGTTTAAAGGGCCTATATTGCACTACTCATCTATGTTATAATGTTGTTTCCTGTTTTTCTGGAGTTGCGTTTTGTTTCAGGTTCAACACATAAGCCCTGCTTATTTAGGCTTTGTTCTTCTCTCAGACAGAAAACATTTTCTTCCACCTTGTGATGTCATGTGGTAATATGCGCTCTACTGTGTTTTTAAACTCCGTACACATTCACTTTAATCATTTTGATGATTTCAGACCGTGAATTTCCAATCTCTACTGAACTAAAGCTAAAAGGAGCTGTTAACTTGTACAATGCAGATTTATGACATCACAAGGTGAAACGGAGCATTTTGAGCTAATAATAAAGGGTTTCTCAAACATGTGTGTGAAACATAACACAACTCCAGATATGTTTTTGAGAAGGGAACAGCATTATAACATGGCTTAAACCTCACAAAAGAGTTAGCTTGCATAATATAGGACCTTTCCGTCAGGTAGGAGATAGTGTTGTCACAATACTCCAATGTCAAACTTGATTTTAATTTTGTTTTATATTAGTTCTGACAAAGCTCAAGATCATTCTGAAAGTGTTCAGGAAAGGTCATATTTTGTCCTGTTAATGTGATCTTCAAAACTGATGCTTGTTCAAATGAGTACTGTGTCTCAGTATGTTTTTTTTAGTATTGATTAACTACTTATTTTCAATCCTTTTAACAACCTTAGAAGGAGACATAACAATTTGCTAAAATGAATGGATAAAATTCAGTTGGGGAACATTGGCAGAGGCAGCAGTTGCAAAACCTGGTATATGTTTGACAGCACAGTAGCACACTTTCGCTCCTTCCTTCAGTGTTTTTGTCACACACAGCCTGTAAAGATTGGCAGCCCCATTGAGCTGTGTCATGTGAGCTTTCTACTGCATTAGCCGAGCCCTCCCCAGTCAGTCCCCAGAGGACACGCACTAGAACAGCACCTTCAAAAGCCCGGGTGTCATCAGCATCCATTCCCCCGCAGTGAGGCATCAGCACACCGCTCTGTCATCCGAGAAAGCACAGGGCAGTAAACGCACCGTCACCCCGGCCCTATCATTACAGCCCCGCACTGAGTCAGAGGGGGACCTGGGCTTTTACTATGTGCATGGACTGAAACAGGTTTACTTGTGTTTTGTGTAAAGACTGTGACTTATTTGTTTTGAAGAATTATCACTTGTTTTATAATGTGCACTTCTAAGGTGGAGGGTCCTCTACTTGCTTGTGTCCATGGAGATGTTATTTCTTGTCTGGAAAGGTCCACAGTGGAGTGTTAGACTTATCTCCTTTGCATTTGCTCAATTACAGGTGTTTCATAGCTCAAAAATGCCTTAAAAACAGCTCCATCGATCTGACAATTGACCTATCTCCACCAACTTTATTTCCATACCATGAAATGATCAAGGCAAAACTGTAGTATCTCCATGGAGACAAGAAAGTAGTGAAACCTCCACCAGAAAAGTTACACAGTGCACCTTTAAAATGCATGATTAGATTATAATTCAGAAAATAGTACACTGGGTACAATGGGTAGTACAAAGTATAGAAATATTTCTCAAATTAAGGGTAACTCCTGAGTTAATCTCTACAGGCCAATCTGACCCACAGCATGTTGTTTTTCTGGAGGTAGGGGAAATCGGAAATGAAGAAGATCATCCAAGATCCACACAGGACACTGGTAGAGGTTTGATTCACATTATTCTGTGTTACCTGTGCAATTTTGAGGACTTAAATTGATTTACTTATCCTTGGGACAGTCCTTGTTATATAAAATGATATATTTTTGAATTGTTTTATACTTTGGCTTGGCAACAATAATATGACATATTTCTGTTGTTGTAGGTTTGAGAATAGCACCTTGACATTTCCAGACCTATTAAAAGTGTTTGTGGGGTAGGACGCTCCTATAAATCACATATGCAGCAGACCGTTCATTACTGCTCTGAGTCATACAGAAACCGTGGCTCTGAGCTCATATCCACTTTAAAACCAACTGTTTCATTCACCTCTTTGTTTTGATGAATTATTGCACACTGTGGGTGTTATGGGCTCTTACTAACACCAATTCTTAATTTGCTCATTTTGAAGTTTTAATCTCCAGTTTGTCAAGAGGGACTTAAAACATGGATGACCTAATGCGTCTTGTCGGACATGTTGGGACTGCTCATTGTTCAAAGCTAACACCAAAGAGGAAGGGGACCTGGCTCACCCTGGGCTCACCCGTATGACGGTGATTGAGATGGATCGGAAAGAAAGAGCTGTAAGGATATGGGGCTGGACTGCCATGGGCTACAGCAGAGCAGAGGGTGTGGCTTGGGACCTGTGTGAACATCAAAGATTACTCCAGTGAGGTCTTCTCTCAGACCTCACATTAGAGGCTTCAATTTATCATTTGCGCTTCCTGTTTGCCACAGGACTGTCATTTGAACATGGTGCTGCAGAGGTGATGCATAAATTAAACATGAGGGCCCATATTATGTGATTTTCTGCTATTTGTTATAATGCTGCTTCCTCATCAAAAACATTTGTTTTGTTTCACTCACACACAAACCCTGCATATTTAAGATGAGTTCTTCTCTCAGACATTTTTTACCTTGTGATGTCATGTTGTAAACCAAGAAGTTCTCCACTGTATTTTTAAACTCCATACACCTTCACTAGAATCATTTGGATAATTTCAGCCCTGGAATTGTAAATCTCTACTGAACTAAGAGTAAAAGGTAGCTGTTAACTTGAAAACTACCTCTGCGTAACAGAATTATAACATGGCTTAAAACTCACAAGAGTCAGCTTGCATAATATAGGACCTCTCAGTCAGGTAGGAGATAGTGTTGTCATAATACTCCAATCTAACATGGCTTAAAGCTCACAAGAGTAGATTTTGCGCAATATTCAACCTTTAACCACAAATACCAGATGGTTAGCAGTTCAATACCTAATCTCTCTCGTTTACTGTGGTTTTGTTTTCATCAAATACATTTTCTCATTGAGTTTAATGTCTTAAGTAGTCTTCTATTCTGTGTGTGTCATAAGATGTTAGAGATAAATGAAGGGCCATGTGTTTATTTTTCAGATCAAGGTGAAAAACAGCATCCCACTGCAGCTTTGAATGAAAATGAACTTCCATCTTCAAGTGATGGGATTAATGAAAGGGGTGAGTCTCTCTTTTTGTAAATATCTTCTTTATTGTTCAAATGTTACCTAAGATGTAATTTCATTATCTCATGTGCTTTTTGAATTGATTCTGTAGACTGTTTTATATTGCAAATACCAAAAACAATCTGACCACTGTATGGACATCTTTTTTAATCATCTTTTTTATTTGACAGTAGACTTTGAGGTATAGTTAGGTGTATTCCCCTCTCTCAGGTTTCATGCCCCTCTGTGCAGGTCTAGACTCCTCTCTATCATACATCTTGATGCTGTCGGGTGAATGGTGGTTGTTGATACAGGAGAATAGGATGTCAGTGTCGCTAAATCAATTTAGCAGGTTTAACAGAGGGGCGAGCCCTGAACAAAGCTCAGACATGAGCAAGCCTGCCTAATGCGCTCATTAAATCATATTTGAGATTTAATGGGCCAACAACCTGTGGACATATTTAAAGATGACTGCTGAAGGGAGCGTGTAAGTGATACCACAGACCAGGACCACGTAGTAAATCATGACAAAACCTGTACATCTTTATACTCCAGCTGACTCTAGTACAGCCATAATCGAAGCGTATGTCTTGAATCTTTTATACAAGTCATATTTGTACCTTTTCCAAGTCTAATTAGATGAATGACAGGAAGCGCATCTGGTGTAAAATCATTGCTGAATTTCATATGTAAATTAAAGAGGATAATTCTTTTACTAAATCATAAATGGTCATGGTCATATTTTTATACAGAGCTTTTCTACCTTCAGTGCACTCAAAGAGCACTTTACATCAAGGAACCATCACCCATTCAAACACCAGTGTACACAGGCACTGGGGGTGAGGTGCCTTAAGAGTCTTGCCCAAGGACACAACAAAAGTAACAGTATCGCATCCTAACCTCTGGGTCTGTGGGTCTGAGTGCTCAAGCAATTATGTTGATGTTGAGAGAAGAATTCGAACAAACAGCCTAAACGGAGCTTCTGTCACCCACTACAGTATATTATATCATTATGTTTCATCATTGATTATGTTACGAGGTTGTTTATAGGTCCAGATGAGTGGTAGTAAAAGTGATGCCTACTCCTTTATTGTGAGACATAACATTGTACATGTGTATGTGCTCCCACTGTCCTCTGTATGAAAGGGACTTTGTATTCACAGCCTGTCACAGCAAGCAAACTCAGGCCCTGAGTAAATATGGTGCGCCTCTGATAACATTCATCAGTATACAGCATGGACACACACCTCTCTGGATGTATGCTGCTGGAGAGGGACGATAGCACAGTAATGTATCATCATCACAAGGTTATTCTCAGGCTTACGCTCTGACTTACAACCACAATGGGAAATGCTCTGTTTAACGACTTTATTAAATTAGTTTGAGCATGGGTTTCTCAGTTGTACATATGTAATGAGTTGTTCGATGGTCTCATTTATAGAAGCTAAGGTAAAAGGAGGTCTGTACAAGGCTGGTGTTTGTGATTAAAGTTAAGTCCTGTCAAATTGTGAATAGCTAGAGACATCATAGAGTATCTTCTCTTTTGGTCTGATGTGAACACTAGACTCAGGAGGCAGAGGAGTTCTGAGCCGGGTTCTTCATCTGGCCCAGCGCTTCCTCCTGGATCCCATCGGTCTACAAAGAGAAGACAAGAAAACCAGAGCACAGAGCAGGAGCCAGCCGCTAAGTCCTGCATCCGGGCGGAGCATCAGGAGCAAAACTTCAGCATCACTGACACAAACACAGGTTGGAATTTTTTTTCCTTCATTTAAAAATATAATTAACAGAATCAACTTAACCAAGTGTTTTAGAAGCAAAATCTTGCAAACTTTTGCTTGTCTCCATAAAGAGAGGTACTGTTTTGCCTTGATTAATTGACAGCATGGAAATAAACTTGGTATTCACAATGGAGACAGGTCAATGGTCAGATCTATGTAGAAGCAAGCCTGCACATGGTAAGAATTTGTGTTTTTTAAGATTTTTTTTTTTCAGGTATAAAGCATCTGTAATTAATCAAATGTACTGTGGAACATTCAAGGCAAGGAAATAACATCTTTATGGAGACAAGCATGTAGCCAGCCCTCCACCTTAGAAGTCACATAGTGTACCTTTAAATTGTATTTGGCCTGATTAACTTATATTCTTGATGCCAAAAGGAAACTGATGCTTTTGAAAATACTACACATTTGTTTATTATGTGTGTATTAAAATTATTTGTATCAAATTTGTCCAATTGCATGTACTAGGTTTAAGTGAAATCCATTGATCAAAAACATCTTATCGACCAGGTAAGCTGACAAAAGCCTTGTAGTTAGTAAATAATTCTTAAATAAATGTCAGCCATTTTCTCATTAACCCAGCTCTTTCCAGTGTTCTCTTACTGTTACCTAGTATCTTCAGCCTTGTCTAAGAACTTTGTCTGTTTTTTTATTCTGTTTTTCCAGGTGTTTGTGTTTATATTCTTTTTTTATTGTAAGTATCATTATTCATTCCTAGGTTTCTATTTCAGATCAGGACGAGGAGGCGTAGTCAGCATCGAGGTGGAAATTTGCAGCCTGTAACCGAGGGAAATGGCACTGATGTTACACCGCCCAGTACAGCTGATGCCAAAAGAAGCTTCAGGTATAGTAGATTTTTGTAAAACTTGCCAAAAGGAAAATCCAATCAGTTATGTTGACAATGGAACAAGATGTAAGCCTGTCATGATAATTATTAAATCAACAAAATATTTTTTGGTGCTCAGTATTTATCGTGTGAACATTTTCTTTGTAAAAGTGGGGAGATTTGGGGTATTTTTGTACATACAATGCAATAGCTCTAGACGGTTGAATAACTGACGTCTCTGGCTTATCATTGGTTCATTTTGCTACTTATTTGTTGCAGCTCATGCCTTTTGAATGATACTGTCTATTTAAAAAGGGTTTACTAAGATTATCTTGCATTATTTTTATTATGTCAGTGGTATAAAGTAGTTTCAATATTATCGTTTATCCCAGTATATCTCTGTAGCAATAAATCGAGCTTCTAAATGTGATATCATGACAGTCATAACAAGATGATTCACTGTAGTGCATCTGGTTTTCTGAATGGCAGTCAACTACAAAAACAAAGTATCTGTATAGAGATTACAAGCAGAAACACATGTGAACAATGCTGTACATGTTTTCATTGCAGTAACAGCAGCTGGCCTCCTCAGAATGTCTCAATGGAGCTCTAATCTTGTCATTGTGCTGTTTTGTTTTCTTGTGTCAGACTCTGCTCCGAGCTTGGGGCTGGCACTCTTGTGTTAGTATTGTGTGCATATGACCAGCTCCATCAGTATGAATGGACCCACGTGTGCTCAAGCATGTTTGGAGCATACTTGTCATTCCTCACAGCTTTAGACTCTTTGGGAAGTGGTTGAGGTCGCAAGGGGTCTCCAGAGGTCACTGCTGGGATTATTGTAATTGACTGGCAAATGAGTGTTAAGAAAGGGCCTGGACAGTGGTCGCTGCCAGGCGTTGAGCACAAACGTCAAAGTCAACGCGTAGTGACAACTGACAACATTATTACCCAGCAGGACTCAACAGGATTTGTAACTGTTATAGTTTGGTTTTGTGTGAATCATTGTAGGAAAATTGCCCAATTAGTGTTTTAGACATAGACTTAGACAAACTTTATTTATCCACAAGGGAAATTATTTGGACACAGTAGCTACCACATCACAATAAATATAATAACAAAGAACAAAAATATAAATGGAACATTAAATAAGCACCAAAAATAGCACAAAAATAGTATAACAAAAATAAGTACCGCTTTATAATAACTACTCCTTAATTAGCCTTAATAAAGCGTGATTAAAACATTCATAATGGACAAATAGAAAGAGAATGATTCAGCAGGCTTAGTCACTGCTTAATTAAGGGGTTATGAGTTAAGGTAATATGTAGTGGTAGAGTAGTTATAGTAGTTGTTTTTTGTTTTTTATTTACCTTTTGCAACTCTGATTTGGGTTTGTTAGATGATTGGTGATGGTAGACTGAAGCTATGGAATTAAAATTTCAAATACATGTATTATGAACTTTTTTGTTTGTTTGTTTCAGAATTTCTCATTCAATCAAACTTTATTTATAGAGCGCTTTTCAGACAAAAAATGCAACACAAAGCACTTCTAGTTATTCTTTTCTTCTTTTCGCTTCTCAAATATTGCCTCAAGTGTGAAACAAGCTCCTTTCAGTCATGACGTTACCCACAGTCTTATGGCTGCGAGACAGATACAGAGCACGTTAACATGTCTCCACAGAAAATTTTAATTGTACATTTTTGACAGATTGTGTTTCATAATCATACCCAACAGTGAAACAGAAACACCATCTGAGCTCTGGCCCGGGCAGTCATCCAGCTAGAATCCAACACTCATCTCTCTTTTAAAGGGGTCAAAGTTCACAGCTTGGTGCCCTCGTGTGGACCTAAGGGTCACACTTTTTGAATATCACAGTCTCCTGGCACTATCCCATTGGCCTGTGGCATGTCTCCTGTACTGTATTGTCTTTGCCTTTGTCTGACTCATGTCTCTGTCTCCAAGGAGCTCACCCCAAATGTTTCTCAGACATGGTAAATCTGGAAAGAGCCCTAAATAGCAGACAAAACAAAAACTTAGCAACAGCGTGGGTCCTTTTGAGTATAATGACTACACCTCACACTCTGATCAAAGATAATTGGACCTCATTTGTACAAAATTTCTTCATTGCATGCACTGTTTTATGATGCTGTTGTCAGCTCATGTCTAGCCGTGTGATTGTGTGGCATCTCTTCATTATCATTTTATTTGACACCAGTCTTTTGCTATTTTTGCTACTTATTTTGAGTTTTTTAATATAATTTATATTTTTGCTCTTTGTTATTATATTTATTGTGATGTGTGAGCTACTGTGTCCAAATAATTTCCCTTGTGGATCAATAAAGTTTGTCTAAGTAATATAAAAATACTCATCCTTTAGCCACAGCGTTTAGAGAGCCTGAATACGCCATATGACAACAACCTACATGTTTGTTAAATAAATCAGCCATTTTGAACTCAGTGTTTCTTTATTTGTCTAATTAACTATTTTAAAGTTTCTCTTAATTTGTGGAAATGGTGATCTGAACAAGATGAGTCACAGAAATTATCTTTAATCTGTGACTTTCTAATCTATTTTTTAAAATACAGATCAAATGAAAACTTCAAGCGCGCCCTTTCAGGACCTAATGGAAAAGGGAGCCATCGCCGCAGCAATCACAGCCTGATCCAGCCTCTCAGAGTCCGATCTCTGCGTCTTTTAAGAAGCAATAAGAACAACCCACCCTCCCCCTCCTCAGTGCTCCCCCCAACGCTACGATCAGCCGCTCTAACTCCACCATCCACCCCTCTAGCAACTATCCCTTCAGCATCCACCCCATCAGCATGCACCCCCACCCAAGCACAGGAACGGGCCAGGCCAATCAACAACAGGAGGGCCTTTCTCAAGTAAGACTCATATTATAATAAACTCTTATATATAAATGTAATGTTGGACTTCCTTACTGAGAGAAGATTTGCTGCTGTGGATCTTTGATTAAAAAAAACAAAAACTGAAGCATATCCTTAACAATTAGAAATTCCTGAATATCTATCTTTATTCAATTTTAATTAAAATTTTTATTCATTAGATTTGGTCTTACCTGGCTCAAGATAGACATCAGTATGTACTGAAAATATGTACATACTGATGTCTGTCTTGAGAATAGACATCAGTATGTACATATAGATAATATCACTTTTGATAGAAAAGTGTGCACCGTCTTGGAATTCAAATTATTTATTATGTACATTAACGATGTCTGTGAGGCAGTGGACAAATTAAGTTGACGACACCAGTCTCTATTGTTCAGGAAAAGACCTACTGCATCTTCTGTACACATATTAATAATATTAATAAACTTTCAATATTTATAAACTTTCAATGAATTTGGAGAAAACTGATATATTATCTTTGGAAATAGAATAATCAAATAAATACTAAAATTAATCAAATAGGAATTGAAATCTGTTAATAAATTCTTGGGCATTCATGTAGATGAAAAACTTGGAAAATGCAAATATGTATAATTCAAACTAAGCCAGCCAAAATTGTTGCTATAATGAGTAAAATGCAAAATTTCCTTTATTTACTGTATAACAGTCTATTCCTAACTACTGTGTGGAAATATGGGGAATAATTATAAATCAAATGTTAATAATATTTTTTCTACTCTAAAAGAACGTTATCAGGATGTTTAATCATACGAATTACTATGCACCAACAAATTCTCTTTTTGTTAAGCTAAAGGTACTTCAGCTTTTGATCTTGTTGACCTGAGTACAGCTGTAGTGATGTACAAGGCCTAGAATCATCTGCTTCCTCCTTGTTTACGGGAGTTCTTCGAGCAGAGAGAGTCAGTAGAACCTTAGAAGAACAGGCATCTTTAAAAAGAAAAAAAATTAAGATAAGAACTAGGGAAAAAAATGATTTTTTTTCTGTTAGAGGAGTTAATATATGGAACAACCTGAGTGATGATTTAAAAATGTCTAACACTGTAGAAGCTTTTAAAAAAAAAAATAGTACAGTATAGAGTAGAAAGTATTATGTTTTGAAAAGCTATAGAGCCCTGGAATGAATGTATTATGCACTCAGTTTTGTTTGTTTTAATTTATATTTTGTCTCTTTATATATATAGTAAGTCGCAAGTGAAATTGTAAATACGAACTTGGTGTTCATATGCTGCTTTTCTTTCTTGGAATACTGTCATTGTTTAATAGGGTTAGCCATTATAAGTACTTTTTCTTTACCTTTCGGTCATGATCCATGGGGTTGTAGTCTATGTTTTGTTTTGTTTTGTTTTGTTTTGTAGTGCTGCAAACTGCCTGAATAAACTACTACTAGTACCTACTTTACGATAAAGAATTATGATAGCAGTATTATTTTGGGACCTACCCCGCTATTAATCACTAATCAGTTTATGACCCTCCTAATGGCTTTATGCGATCGGGACAGTGTAGTTGTCAGTGAATGAGAAACAGAGAAGCAGTCCTGTGGTGCTTTCATGACGTTTGATGAGCGTGTGGAGTGGGAGGTCCCAGAACTAAAATAACTTGCTTCTTCCTGTTTGGGTGACGCATCTTCGGAATAAAAGCCCTTCCCTGGAATCTCATGGGAGGAACTCACACCTGAAGCGCCACTGTCACTGTAGATTTCCTGACATGATGATGACTGGAATTATAGAAAATGATAACGTTTAGAATGGAATTTATACACATTTACTGAGCCCAATTGAATATTGTTATAATAAGCCGAAGAAGATGAGTATTATTGTATGATGTTATTAAAAGCAAAATTACTCATATGTACTATAAAACCCAAGAGTTATAATTGAGCTTAGGCAAGCTTAAAGGGCCTATATTATACTCTTTTCTGATCTTGTATGTTATGTTTCCTCATGTGTTTTGTTTCATTCACGCATCGTTAACACACAAATCCTGCCTATTTTTGCTTCTCTTAGTTTTTCTCTCAAACAGAAAACAGTCTGTTCCACCTTGTGATGTCATTTACTAATACAGGAAGTGCTCCACTGTGTTTTGAAACTTCATACATCTTCTCTAGAGACATTTGTATAATTTCAGCCTTGGAATTGCCAATATTGAACAAAAAGGGAGCTGTTAACTTAAAAACTGCTTCACGACATCACAAGGTGGAACAGAGCATTTTGAGCTTTGAAGATGTAGACAGGATTACTCCAAAATGTGTGAATGAAACAAAACATAACTCCAGGTATGTTTTTGATAAGGTAACAAGCATTCTAAAATGGTTTAAAGCTCACAAATATCACAAATGAATAAATGAGATTGTATTTTGGTCTAGATCCAACTGTTACTTTGGTTTTCCAGGCAGGAAAACTTAAGATTGGCATCACATAATAGTTTTGTTTCTCCACACTTGAAAAAAACAGGTTGATCCAGTTATGTAGAGTCATGTCAGGCACAAACACATTGATTCTTGGCTATTGATTTATTTAAATTAGATCAAATTACATGTCAGGTTGAGTGTACAGATCTGTCCATCAAATACTGCGCCTCAGGATCCAAACTAAAGCCAGTCATGCTTTCGAAAGATTACGCATTAAAGAATATTAAAGAATTAGTTTTGGTTATTTATAGAGATTGACTGATATGGGTTTTTCCATAGCCGATGCCAATACTGATTGGTTAGAATCAAGAGGAATGGCCGATTAACTATATTAAACGATATTTTTGGACCGATTTTGATTATTTTTCCCAATTTCTGTAATTTAAATTTGCTGCAAGCTCACCAACAGCCCTTTTTAACCATAAACATATAAGAGAACTGTGTAGTCACATTTTGTGCAGCTAAGAGTTCAACTAAAGCTTTACGTGTATTCTTGCTGCAGGTCAGTCAAAACTAAACATCGTCCTGTGCTGGAGATTTAAGGCCGATAGCCGATATGCTAAAAAGTGCAAATATCAGCCCAATATATTGGTCTCTCTCTAGTTACTTATATTTGGACTGTAACACAAGAAGGATACATTTAGGTTTGGTTTTTTTTATACATTTATTTGCATGTATGTCCTAGATCCAAAACTTAACCACACTCACTATTTACTTTAATACACTCCCAAGTTCACTAGAGACTGAAGTCGCAGCTTTTTATTACATTGCATGACAACATTCTGATGCCCTGCAGTAAAGTGGAGCAATAACTCTGTTGTATAGTTAACAAAGGATAGTTAGAAATAATAAAGGATGGTTGGGTTGGTAACAATTAAATGTCCCTGTGCTATTTGTTATACTTTTTAAAAACTCAAGAGTCAAGTTCAAGTTCATGGTACAGTACTCTTTTGTATGTGCTCCTGCTGGTCGTGCTTTCTTCAGGAATTCCATAAATATTGTGCATTTTGTTACGGGGGGCAGAGTGTAGCATTCTGTCTTATTTTAAATGTTTTGAGCAAATGTTTATTTTTGACGTATATATATTATTTCACTATCAGGTTAGGGTTAGATTTAGGAACTGTTAATTTGGTCAAGTTTAGGGCTTTGGGACATTGAATTGTTATGCCCTGTAACAAACTGCTGAACATTTAAGCACTAATATATGTACTGTATGTACTTACTGCGTTCAAAATGTATCGAGTCACCCACCCTGTCTTAGCATCCTGTCCATAAACTGTGTAAAGAAGTGGACTAAGGGAGTGTGACATTACCCATAGCGTTTGGCTCCAGTCAAATGAAGCTCACAATGATAGCAATTACAGGACCGAATTTGGAGCCAAGTCCATATTAGAAATAGGAATTTATTTACGGGCAAAACAGCAAAATAAAAACACCAAGATCATGTAGAAGGAGGTTAATACTAATATTTTATCACCAAAATGACAAAGCTCACAACAGCAGTGACAGAGAGAGGGGTGATCATTTTTTAATGTAAAGTCAATTGGAGCCAGAATCCATGGAGCCAGAAGCGCCCCATGCCTATTTGGAGCACAGTGGCTAGTGGGTTAGCTATGTCCACAGTCTATGGTTCAAATGCAAAAGTAATGTAATGTAATGTAAGCAGTTTATCTAGCATTCTTTCCCATTATTACACATACCCATACACTGGATCGAGAAGTAAGATAATCCAGCCGTTAGTAGAGCCATTTTCAGGTCAGTGAGGCAGAGCGGAGGACTCACATAGGGAGTCCACGCCACACCCCTCCTTTGTGTGGTGCAGGTCCAGGGTGTTATGTAACAGGAGGGAAGATACAGGATGGATGAGCGATCAAACATACACTGGACCTGTCTCCTATTTAAAGACACAAAGCAGCTCACACTGGGACCGCTGTGTGTGGAACAGTGACGCCCTCATCCCCCTGACGACTACAAACAAACCCAACCTTTGGCCCTGGCACACGCCCACTGTTCCAGGGCACGTTTTAAAGGGGAAAACAACTCATACAATTCATTATATGATCATGGAGTTATACAGGGAGAGGTGAAGAGACCAGTCAATAAGTTAATCTAAATTTAGGTGTGAACATTAATTTTAATCAAGTGACAAAAATTTTATATTACAGAAATCTGATTAAAGGTTCTATATTTCACAAAACTGACTCATACTTATAGTTGTGTTTTGTTTCAATCACACATGTTTGAGTAATCCTTTATTATTAGTCTGTCTACATCTCCAGAGCTCAAAATGCTCAGTTCCACCTTGTAATGACATGTAGTTACTTACTTGACATCACAAGGTGGAACAGTGTTTTTGTTTGAGAGCCTAACTCAGCCTAAATATGTAGGATTATTGTGTTAATGTGTGAATGAAACAAAATACAACTTAAAGTATTTTTTGATGAAGGAAACATTATAACAGAAATTTTAAAAAATAGCATAATATGGGCCCTTTAATTCCTAAATATAAAAATGTTTAATTGATTCTGTGGGTCTTTGTTACTTA